TTGAGCTGGTATAAATTTTGAGAAGACACTTTTCATACGGGAAACGCTGCCGAAATTTTCTTAGCTTAGAGGGGTTAGATTATATTTTTGACACGTGGCGACTCTGACAATCCGCCCTGAATAAGGAAGATGTTGCCATAGGTCTGCCTTGCGTTAGGCACTGGCTTAGAGGCAGACCTAGGCTTAGCTTGTAGACACTAGCGGTTAATGGAAGACCAAAAATTCGGGGTTTTTCGCCGCGTCGCTACAAGCAATGTTGTCGAAACTTTTGCGAACAAACTTATAGAGTTGTATTCTCCATACACTTATGAATTTAACTTGGGAATTGACCTGTCTTGTGTTACAGGTCGTCTTGATCGATTGATTCAGGATTTGAGCTAGATTCAGCTTGATCCTACAAGGATCATCTTCTGTTATCACTGATAACAGGTCGGTTGCCAATTCGTCGGTCTACGACTCAACTCTAATTCATCCTCAATACTCAACCTAAAAGGCTTTAACCATGGTGATTTTTATTGTTTTATTAAGGTTTTCACCTGGACTTCTATTGAATGGTCATTTAACAAAGGTACTGAGTAATTAATTATGGAAGGTTGGACAAAGGTTAGAGCTTGCATGGCTAAAACGAGGGGTACGAGTATAGAGATTGATTGAAGTTGACTCCGTGTAGTGCGTGAACTTTTGGTTGACTCTTTGATGTGATTGCAGGTATGTTCTGTGGTTCGGATTTTGGATTTGACTGCCTACGATCACACACATATATATGGCTGTGAGAAGTCCCACACTGATTGTGAGAAGTGGTCGTCACACACTTATATCTCCTTTACATATGTATATGTAAGTACTTATATTAGGTGTTTGCGTGACCTGGGGCCCACGCTTAAGGGTTTAATTGAGGTTGAGATTGAGAAACGAAAGAAAACCCCGTTTCATTGTTGAGTGTTTTTTAAAGATTTCTTAGTCGGACGTTGGTCCTGGGCCTGGATTCGAGGTCCTTGTCCAGGACATCCCAAGGCCTAGACTCTGCGTGGAAGGGATCACCCCCGCGCAGAGTCTAATTGCCCTGCCTGTCGGGACACTTATCCTAAAGGTCGGAGGTGTCGTGGAGGTCACGGCTGTTCCTTCAGCCGTGCAATATCGTAAAGGGGTAAGCCTTCACGATACTTCGAGTCTGACCCTTGAGTGTTATAGGTGGTTCTCGGATCTTCGAGGGACAACTTCATTATGGGCATTACATAGTTACTGTACACCATCATTACGACTGCTTGCATAGTCATGCATTGCTAGTCGAGATGGGAAGGTCCCGCGTCCACACGGTTTTATACTAAATCTCGCGCGTGACACCTATCTGATTTCCGCATCGGAGAGTTATGGGATGACTACTAAGGGACTAGGAGTGTTGTCGCGTTGTTTGATCTGTGTCGTTCTATATATGTATGTGTGTGTGTGCATGCATGTTTTAAATTTTTATGTCCTTAGAGTGGTGTACGCGTGGTATGTGGGATGCGTCCTCGTTGACCAACGACTGGTCGCGCTTGGGACCTCAACCCCCTAAAGCGTCGGTTCGCGTAAGGATCCGATAGAGGCGTAAAGCCGCACGTACCCCCTATGCTACAACGAACGAGAAACGCCCTCGGCTGGTCCACCTCTGCGATTGCAGCTGATTAGCTTTCGTACTGTGGATTGGTAGCTCGGCGGGGATACGCCCACCAAAGGGAGGTGACAGTTCTCGTAAGGTGGAGGTAAGTCGTGCCTCGCGTAGGCCCTATCTTGTCGTAGGGGCTCGCGAGAGGTATGGCAGTACTATGGCTGGCGCACTCGGCCGGAGCAGCTTGCGAAAGCTCCATTATATATTCGCGATGAGGAATAGACCAACTCTTGTGTGACGCGGCCGGGAGGGTCCCGCCCCGTTTCGTGCGGTGCCATGCACTCGACACCGTTCGACGTAGCCGACGTCGGGATACTAACCCTGTAACCTGTGTCAGGGGCTTGCCGCTAAGGGAAATGTCGAAGGCGGAAGGCACTTCCTGTCCGTCAGAACTAGGTTGGTCAGTACTGGGGAAGGTTGTGGTGCCCTGTTACCCTAGCAGAAGGGGGTATGAGATCAAGTGAGTTCTGGTACGAGGACTGAAAGCCTGGACCGACGTTCCGTCTGTTGAGGGGGGGGGGGTTGGATAGTAGGTAGTTTTAGTTTTGAGCCCCCGCTCTCATATTTTTCAAAGCCTTTTCATATTTTTTCTGAATTTTGGCGTCTCTCATGAGGAAAGTCTTGAGAATGCCTCTTGCAACTCATTTTAGGTTTCTTTTATGTTGTTATATTCATGGATCTGCAGTTTTTTTAATGCCAGAACGACGCTGGCCGGAGCTGCGGGGTTGCCCTGTAACCTGTTGATAGCAGGAGCGTGAGGCCTGGTAGAGAGATCTGGGGATGCCTTGGGCCGGGCATTCCAAGGGAAAACCAAGGGTTGCTATCGGTACAACGCTGGCCAGAGCTGGGGTGAGTTGTGTTGCCCTGTAACCTAGCAGAATGGGGGCATGAGGCCTGGGAAAGCTCGGCACGGAATAAGACAGTGTTAGAGAATTTTAGAATGTTTTGTTAGGGGTTCCAGGGGTTCTGAGCATTCAAAGGGCTTCTGTGGCTTTCCGTTTTGACTTAGTAAGTGCTGCTTGAGTAGCCTAGCAATAGGTTAGCAGTTATCCATGTTTTTCCTAAATTTTCTCGAATCATTTTCATAGTTCTCATATTGTTCTTAGTCGAAGCCAGGCAATGGCCTTGGTATTTCAAAATCATTTGTATAATTCTATATGGGACCCTGGGCCCGGTTCCCAGCACGTGTTGCTCCCCACGAATAGACTGGAGCGTTTATCCCAAAAAAAAAAAAAAAAAAAAAAAAAAGATATCAGGTTCCATTGGGTTCTGCCTGTTATTGCCCTATTCTTGTTTTTTTTTTTTTTTAAATAGAAAATTTTGGACCATTTCTCGATTTATGCGTGTTGTCCTTGCGCAGGGGCCTGGACCCACTAGCGAAGTAATCTACGACGTGTGGCACAGTTTTATGGTTTCTTGGAAAATACAAAGTGATTTTTTTTTTTTGCATGAATGGGTCTTTTTCTTATTTAAAATGAATTGAAATAGGACATAAAACTATGAAAAACAGTTGTGCACCCGAATTCATGGGTTGGTATGATCTCCTTCACGTCAGTCTTCATAGTGATGTACTGTGGCAATAAAATGTGTCCATGAACACATTCACGAGGATGAACAAGTAACGGGTATTGGGATATATTCCTCGCGATGTATTTCATGATGACTTTAGCAGGCCATCCGACAGACGTGGAAGCGTTCCTGTCAGATGCACCACAATATTCGAATTTCACATTTCAAGTTCTATTTCTCAGAGCCAAAAAAAAAAAAAACAAAGTTTGGAAATCAACCCCCCCCTATACAGCCCATAAAATCCAGACTTCCCGCCCACGCAAAGCCACGAGCTATCATGTCCAAGTTAGTCCAACTTCGTCTTTTTTTCTTTTTTCGACGCATCTCATTGGACGGAAGGTGGGCATCTTTACAGTCCCCGCTCCGAAACTACCAGGCCATCGAGATCCGATCTATTCGACGGCCGTACTGAGTCACTCGATGCCACACGTGATCAAAATCCTGAACGGCGTGGTAGAATACCTTGCTGGTGGGTCCAGGCCCCAGGGGGCATGTGAATCTTCTCTGAATCGTTCATATGAGAGTCACCTTCGGCACTTGCCCATGTGGTAGAGGGCCACTAGAGGCCCTCTAATCGTATGGTACTATGGGACTCCCTCCCAACCTACCACTTCCGTAATTTTTCCCGACGCACTCCTACGGAAATAGAAAATAGAAATAGAAGGAAATAGAAAGAAATAACCAGGTGATCACACGTGTAATCACGAAGTCGCAGCACCAGGCTGCCACAACTGAGCTTTAAAAAATTCAATAAGGACGAGCCCGACAACGCGCGCCACCATCGTACCACAACGCCCAAGAACCCCCGAACACTCCACCGTCAAAAGCGCTGACTCATTCTTGGTGCAAGCACCAAAAAGGAGTCTAACCGACTCATTGCCAGTATTTTATCCATGCGTCACAGTCAATCATTCGAAAACATTCGCGGGCGACACAGACCCCCTCCCTGCTGCGACGAACGCGCCAGGTTACAGGTTCGAGGTCTGGTCCAGACAAAAAAGCACTACAAAACAAATCCTGTGAATAGTTCCAAAGCATCCTAGCCACCAGTTCCTCAAAAGACCATGTCCTAATCGGAAACATTCGCAGGCGACCCAGGCCCCTCCCTGTTGCGACATCCCCGACAGGTTACAAGTTCGAGACCTGGTCTTGTCCAAGACACCACCAAAAAAACAAATCCTACAAACAATCCAATCGTAAGTCATTCCAAGACCCAGTTCCTAAGAAAAACCCAGGTACTGCAAAACCAAGCGGGACTGCACCCAGGTCCCATGAAACACACCCACACTCATATTAAGCACTTCCGACAGTTCTACACCCACATCTCATGATGCTACCAGTCCCTAGTAATCTAGTCATACAAATTCTATCAACATCTCATGACAGGGGCGCCATTACATGTCATCCTAAAGCAGGAAAAACACAACAACACATCACGCATACTCAGTATACAACGAAAGTCTCCTACTGCGACCCTCGTGCCAGATCGCCAGTACAATATCGGTGCAGAGTCACTCAGTCAACAGCTCAGCTAACAGTTTCCACACCGTCCCTTTGTCACGTGAGAAATTCCTCAGCCCGGTTTCGAAGAAGTGTTTTGGGTAATGCCGTCGGCGGAGCTCCATTCGCAGAAGGAGCACAGCTCCAACCAACTCCATATCAGTCATGGAGTTCTGCTCAATTCTGTGTAGCGCACTGACCACGACCTCTAGTTTTGCCTTCTTCGATGTCCATGATCTGTAGTCTTGAAAGACTCGAAAAGTCAACTCAGTTCCAGCCAGCAGATTCTTCTCGTTCTTCATTGCCTGGCAACATCCCACGTAAGGGAAATCTTCTTCCACGGTCAGTCTGCAGCCCAAGAATTCCCATACGCCTTCGCTCATGTCCGTCCTCTTCAAGGTCAAGGCGTCGTCGTAACAGTTTTCGAACAACGAAAGAATCCTCTCCGCTTTTTGCGCTTCGATTCTGGTTTTCTCGAGTCGTAAGCCACAAAGGTGGAGGCGTCATCCACATACCGAATGCCCGCGATCAATCTACGGTCGCTCCCTAAACTAATCAGAAGGTCCCATTCCGCCTTCACACACAGTAGGCAAGCAAGCGGCGGGCATGTTGCCTTACCCATTGGTATTCTTATAACTTGTCGCAGGATAGTGCCACTCGCAACAGTATAACACGCATCCAACTCATACTGTACGAAGTCACGGATCACACGAAACTCAATGAATTGACAACCATCGACCGACTCTTTCTTACTCATCGCGGCACCCTTCCCGCGACGTTTCACCCACATGCCGCGGAACCCTCTCCGCTCGTGCCACCAAACGCACCAGTCCAGAGCTTGCATAATAGTCTTGTGGGGTAATTTACTAAACATATCCTTTATATCATAAGACCCCACAAGCAGGCTCGTGTACTTCCCCACCCTCTGCATCTTCCTGTTAATCTGAATCAACCGAGGTCGCAATCCGCCAATCGATTTCAAATTAAAATGTCCACTCTTCGGAAGCGCGAACAACATTCCGTTAACAGCACGCGCTATCTTTCTACAAACACCGTTACAGGGTTCACGGTACGTCCGACATATCGGCCTGTACTTTGCCGTGTCCTTGTGTTTAGGCAAGGCATAGGCATTTCCAAGCCTCCCTTCTACATCCCATTTTCCCAGCCGGTCAAAATCTCGCCTCCGAAATTCCTCGAAACAGTCATTGAAGATTGCCACCTCCTTTCTTTCACACACCTCATACCCTTCGTTCTGCACAAATGTTGTCTCCATCGCTGCCCCATACACGAGCGGGCACATTACTAGTGTGTCTCCCGGATTTCTGTCCAAAGGAGCATGCACCAGTCCGTCCAGCCTGGTCACGAGTTGTCGCACCTCGGTCAAGTTGCTGCTAGCATCACTTTCGAGTCCACTCACACAGCGTTCCACTTCCTCAGGTGAGAAAGTGATCTTCCCAGTCCCAATCCCCAGCCAGCGGACGTCCTCCACCCCGCTGGACAACTCCTTCCGCAGTCTGGACACCACGCCCTCACTCCTATCCCTCGACACATTCTTGGCATTCAGGGCGATGCTGGGAACGTCAAACAACTCCCCTATGCGGAAATGGACGTGCCCCTCCACCCGTGGGAAAGGCATATCGGTGCAAGTGCACCCAAAGACTCCATCCGCCGCGTAACGGCGGTGATTATGGAGGATCTCACCCACGTTCTGGCTTCTTGTCCAAACAATGCGGGTGCGTCTTCGTACCATCTCCATCACTAGACGAGTCAACTCCAACTTTCCCACACCACTCCTTACTAACCGTACTACCTCACCTTTACATATTCTATCGTCGTATTCGACCTTCACTATGATCCGCCTCCTGACATTCATACCAAACTTCCTCTTGAATACGTTGGACAGCATTCTTCGCGCCCTAGTTCGGCTTCTCTTTTCCAAGAATAGCTTTGCATCACTATAGTAACCCACCAGCTCATCTACCGATTTTTTCGATAGTTCCCCCTGCTTTCGCCTGTTCCTAAACATCCGGATCAGATCCTGCTTCAGCCTCAGTGTTCTAGGTGACGCTTCTACCACATCTCGTAACACCAGCCATCCCTCCGTCTCCAACAACTTCTTGCACTTCCTTAACGGCCTCGTACGCTTCCCGACAACTACCCGCGATTCCCCGAACAGCCTACGCACTACACGCCATCCATCGGTCCAAGTCTGTCCACCGTTGCTATACACTTCAATCCCAGTACCGTGCGATGGTTTGATTAACCCGCGCAGAAACTCCACAACTCGCACGGTAATCCGACTTCCGCGTGTTCGCAATTCCAAAATCCTCCCTAATTGTCCGCTGTCACCTCTTATAGTCACATCCTCCTTCCTTACCCATTGTCTTCTTCTCTCCTTCCTACCCTTCCTCCATCGTTTTCTGGTCTTCTTCTTTGTCCCGATTGTATTCAACGAAGGTGACCACGTCTTGATCAAGGTCCTTTCCACGGCCTCAAGTTCAGCCCTATCGTCATTGAAAAACACTGGTATCGCTACGTACTTCTCCAAACCCACTTTTCCAAGCCAGTTGTATAATTTCCTCCCACGTCTCTTTCCGCCCTTCCTCACGCAGTTTACGTGCTCACCCCAGCGCACCTTTAACTCCCTTTCCGTCATGCCCACGTACGTCTGCTTGTGCCATGGTGACACTAGCACGTATACACAACCACTTGCTTCATTCAGATCCAACTTACCAAGATCCAATGCGACCCTCCAGTATTCTACAAAAACTTTGTGCACCACCTTACCTCTCCCTGCAAAACCAAACAAAGCACTAAGGCACGCATGCAACGCTCGTCCTCCGCGTCACGACCATACTGCTGCTGTCGCCTCTTAGTTACCAAGCCAACCCTGCGCCATAGATCCTGAGGCCAGCATCCTCACTCGGATGCCTCCTCGTCATCTTTGCCACTGTCCGTCTCCGCCAAACGGATGTTCCTGACGGATCGCCTGACTACCCCTGGAGTCTCCGGCAAAGGAACTTTAACAGGGTCATAGGCTTTGACCACTCTCTTCTTCACCAACCGATTGATAGCCATTTCTCTCTTCCCATATACGACGTGCTCGGCTTTACAAGCATCTTTCAGTTCTTCAATGGTCAATGCCTCAAAAATCTCTCGACACTCATTCTCGTATCTCTCACGCGCTCCCGGTCCAGTGCCAGCCGTCACATGCTTGAGAGACTGTGAGATCTTCCCGACTAGTTCCAGTATCGACGCCGAGCTTCCAGCCACCGCTCCCCCTTCGCTCCGGATTTCGCTAATCCGTGTCTTGGCTCCAATGGACAGGCCAGTGCGCTGCCCTTTCGTCGGTGTGGTCATTGGCGGGCTATCTCCCACCGCCACTTCCTTGCCCCGTTTTCTCTTGTCGTTCAGACTAAGACCAGCTGCCCTGCGTCGCAGCCTAAGCAGCTCGTCGTCTTCGAACTCAGCTTCTTCGGTTTCGGCAACTGCGATCATACGTCGGAGCCGTTCCTTTTCTTCGTCAAGTGTCTCACCCCGCTCGTTCGTCCTTATTACCTTCACAACTTTCTCAACCTTCTTAGCAACAATCCCAACATCTTCCTTTTCCTTACCACGTAGCACTTCCTCGCGCACCATACGCAGCAGACGTGCATCATGCTCGTCCTCGTATCTTCGTCTTTCCGCCAGTTCCTCGAGTCTCTTTTTCTCCGCTTCCCTCTGCATCGCCTCCTCCTTTCGGGCTGCCTCCTCCTTCGCTTCTCTTTCTTGTCGTTCGCGTCTCTCCTGCGCCTTCTGCAGGAAGTACTCTCGCATGAGCACATCGGTCTCCCCACCACTCCTCCGCATGTTACTATCAGCTAATAGGCTCCTTCTTTCTTGTCCCATACCCATGGTTCGACCCCCCCGCGTTTGTGGCGGGGGAATGAAGGGTACGCCCCTCCTCTTCGCATCTTGGTACTCGTCACACACATTCCGAAAATGGTCGGGGTCTCCACACCTAAAGCAGGTGCGGCCCGCCATCCAGTTCTCCGATCACGGTCAGAAGTTTTCGTTACCACTCCCGCTGCCGCCGCTGGCGTCGCCAGACCCTCCGGCACCGCCACTCCCGCTGGTGCCGCTCTCGCGGCTCATCTCGAGATTCCTCGATAACGCCGAATAGCCACTCAGCAGGCCTATTCGCAAGTAGCAGTAGCCGTAGCCGTAGTATCACGCCGCCACCCCCTCCAGGTGCAATCTCCTGACAGGTTACGACGATCGGTACAAGGAAAGAGAAAGAAATAACCAGGTGATCACACGTGTAATCACGAAGTCGCAGCACCAGGCTGCCATAACCGAGCTTTTAAAAATTCAACAAGGACGAGCCCGACAACGCGCGTACCACAACGCCCAAGAACCCCCGAACACTCCACCGTCAAAAGCGCTGACTCATTCTTGGTGCAAGCACCAAAAAGGAGTCTAACCGACTCATTGCCAGTATTTTATCCATGCGTCACAGTCAATCATTCGAAAACATTCGCGGGCGACACAGACCCCCTCCCTGCTGCGACGAACACGCCAGGTTACAGGTTCGAGGTCTGGTCCAGACAAAGAAACCACTACAAAACAAATCCTGTGAATAGTTCCAAAGCATCCTAGCCACCGGTTCCTCAAAAGACCATGTCCTAATCGGAAACATTCGCAGGCGACCCAGGCCCCTCCCTGCTGCGACATCCCCGCCAGGTTTCAAGTTCGAGACCAGTTCGAGACCTGCGCACTCCTACCTCCACTATCTTCTTCTTTTTTTTTTTTTTTTTTTCTTTTTTTTTTTTTTTTTTTTTTTTTTTTTTTCGTATCTCCCACGATCCGGCCTCAGTGTTTACCACTCAGGATCGTCACTCTCCAGCCTGGGGGTGACCTGACCGAATTGTGGTTGTAGGTACCAGGGCTAAGCTGAGTCCCACACACCCCACTCAGCCCCGATCTAAGCATATTTGTCCTGAAGGACTTTTTTTTTTTTTTTTTTCAAACAGCCCGAGGTGGTGCTAGGGGTGCTGATAAGAGCAGACACCACTAACACTGTCGGGGAGGCTCCTTCTATTGATGGGGAGCAGCACCTGCTGGAAACCAGGTATTCTGACAGCGCTGACTCCCTAAAATCCTAACACCACATTATAGCAGCAGGAAAAAGAAAACCACAAAAAGACGAACCGAAAAGACAAACATCCAGTGCGCCCTGTGAGCCCTCCCCAATCAATCTCTATCCTACCATTCCTCTGAGTTCTTATCTGAGATCCCCAGCTTTCCTGTTTATTTCCCTTACCCAGACTGAGTCTGAGTTCGAAAGTGGCAAAATCAGGTGGCCACTCCTTGTTACCACCCGTGTCAGAGGGTTGTTGCTTATCCTTTCTTTTTTTTCTTTTTTTCTTTTTTTGGGGGGGGGGGCGGGAATCTATCTGGCACCCCTGTACTTTCCATCATTTTGCGTTGCGCCCCTCCGACAGCCCACTTACCATGTCGTGCCCCTCTGACCACGATTCAAATTTCCCAGAAATCCCTGGTGTCGGCTGGGCCTGAAATTTTTTTGTTATGTCCCTAGCGGTACCCGTTCCAAATTTGCAGTATGCCCCTACCGGATAGCCGTTGAGTACCAGCACCAAAATTTTCCATATGCCCCTACCCGTAGGCCTGGCATAGGGTGCATGTTTTCAGCGCACCTCTATGGCTACACGCATGGCAGCCACTTCATTTCTCTCTCTCTCTCTCTCTCTCTCTCTCTCTCTCTCTCTCTCTCTCTCTCTCTCTCTCTCTCTCTC